TGTCACTCCAGAGACCCCAGCAGAGATGACCAGACCTGGGGGCTCAGCTGTCAAGGAGGACCCTGCCGAGGACCACGTGGGACAATGGGTCTGAGTGCGGCCTGCAGGGCTCAGAGCCCAGGGAGTGGGGCTCCCCCCTCAGAGGCCTGCAGGGTCCTGGTGCCTGCAACAGGCTGGGCCAGAGAAGGGATGGTGGCCAACGAGAGGGCTCCCGATGGCCAGAGCCGAAGCATCTTGCGTATGAATGTAAGTCGTGCGGGACAGAACTCAGAACAGACAATGAACACCCACAGACCCCACGGAGGCAAGCAAGGAACTAATGGGAGGAGAGGCTCGGGAACCCCAAGTCACTTCTGTGTTCCACCCTCACAAACTGTGGGGTCCTGGCGGGGGTCCTGGGCCAGAAGGACACAAGACACTGAGGCTGCCTTCCGTGGCTAGCAACGCCCCTTCCCTTGGTCAGCTGTGACATGTGCGCCTGGCTACTCAGGGACACGTTCTCGGGGCAGCGCCTGGGTACATGGAGCGCTGCACAATCTTCAGAGTTCCTCTATAAAAGGAAAGGAAAGTTGATTTTCTTAAAAATGACTGAAAAAAATACAGCACAGCAAAGGCGAGGGCTTGATGCCCCTGGGGCGGGTGAGAGCCTTGGGCAGGGGGACGGGGACTGGCGACTCCCAGCAGGACATGAAGGGAGGACCCCTGGAGGGCCCTTCCCTGAGGCCACTGCTGTCTCCTGCCTGGACTCCTTGGAAGGAGACTCTGCCTCCCTGACCTGTCCTTGTCCAAGGGAGAGACAGACCTGGGCTTGGGCCTCAGTGTCCCCAGTCATAGCCTGGTTGGGGACAGGGACTGCAAGGCCACCCAGCCGGGAGTTCTGAGTGGGTCCCACCACACAGGCTGCAGCCCAGGAGCCTCTCCTGGCTCCCAGCCGCCTGCCCAGGGCCCCCCACGCCACCCCCACGCCTCTGCTGACCCACAGGAAGGCCTGGTCTTGGCTGGCCTGGGGAATTCCTTCCGGGCCCCCTCCCAGCCTCCAGGGCTTCCTGTGTGGAAGTGGGCCTGGATCCCGCCTTGCTAAACACAATATCAGGAGGGAGAAATCTCCTTTGGATTTCCTGTTTGCTGGGAGCCGATCCCAGGGCCAGGCCCCAGAGCTCCTGTCCTAAAAGAGGAATAGCCACCAGGCTCTTCACCCCAAGAGGGGCCCTCTAGTCACGGAGGGTAAAATCACAAGCAGAGGTCTCTGCAGATTCCCCTGGTGCAGGGCCACTTTGTCCCCTGCTCAAGCATAGGACTACAACCACAGAGCCAGAGCACCATGCACTGGAGGCAGCCAGCGCTGGCACTGGGGAAAGACAGGTGGGGACACTCACATACAGTCCGACACTGGCCAAGAGGACACCGAGGCTCCCTCCCACCCCTGCTCCAGGAGGGCATCTGCGGCAATGACCTTGCTGCCTACTGGGCCCATCACCTACCTACCCAGGCTGCCCGTGCTCAGCGCAGAGGGTCAGAGCCCCGAGAACCCCAAGATTTGCCTTGCTGCCCTTCCTGGGGGACAGGTCAAGAGGAAAACCGGCCTCCTTGCCCCCAGGGGCTCCCATCGGGCAGGGAGGGAAGGGAGCCTAGCTGCCCTTGGGCTGTCATCTGCCAGGCACAGGGCTCTGCTGCCAAGTTGGCCACCCTTCCCGTCCACCCCCAGAGCCCAGTACCCAGCACCATCCCACCATCTCTGCTACTTCCATCCCCACTGCCCCCAAGCCATCTCCCCATGGCTGGTGCTTTGGGTCATGTCTGCCACTTCGGAGAGGGTGACCCTGAGAGGAGCTCTCAGGACCTGAGGACCAAGCATTCTCCCTGGAAGCACACACTGCCCCCTGGCACCGGGATGCCACAGGGTCCCCAGCCCTCTACCCCAAGGGAGAAGTCTGCCCGGGGCATGGGGCCCTGGCTCCTCCTCCTCCCTGCTGACCCGTCCTTGGAGAAGGGAGAGTAGCCCGCTGGGACAGCAGGCCTGGGGCACTGGGCAGGACCAGGACCTGCAGCGTTCTCCTTACTCTGGGAGTAGGAAGGGCGGGCAGCTCCCAGGGCCCCCCACAGTGTGGCTCCTCCTCACCAGCCTGCCCCCACCCCAGCTGGGGCCTCTTCCCAGCCCCCCACGGGCCCTGGGAGCCCCTCCCCACCACACCCCAAGTGTCCCCCAGTGCCAGGGCTGGGGTGGGTAGGGCAAGCAGAGCAGGCCCTGACTCGCTGGGTGAGTCAGGCGGGCACCTCGCCCCAGGGGAGCAGATGGCCTTGTGCCAGGCCAGCACTGTAGCCGTGAGAGCCACCGTCTGAGCTGCCTCCCGCCTGAGCCCCGCACAGCCCAGGCAGGCATGTGCCTCCCCTGGGCCCTGGGTCCCCGGCCAGGCCCCTGCCTCCTCCCAGACACTGACTATCAGCAGCTGGCTCCCCACAGCCTTTACTCCTGCCTAGGCTCCAACCCGTCCCTGATTGGGGGCTCGAGTGCTCCCTGCACCTCGGCCTCAGCTCCCCACCCCGTGTTCAGGGAGCGGGATGCACAGACTCCTTGCAGGTGGCGTTAGGCGTCCGCGCTGGCTTCAGCCACAGTCAAAGACTGGGTCCTGGGTGGCTGCAGCTTTCCCATCCATAAAATGGGTGCGCTGAGGTTCCCTCTGCTCCCCACGGGGTTCCCAGCCAGTAATGACAGGGCTGAGGGCTTTGATGTCCCAGATGAAAGGCCACTAAAAGCTCCCAGGCCAGCCCAGGACAGGGGATACCTAGTCCAGAAAGGCAGACACCACCCTCCTAGACCCCACCTGGGCTGTGGGAGTGGGCTCCACCTGGCCAGCCCCAGGGCCAGCCCACCCCACTTGGGCCTGACCACAGAACCCCTGGGCCAGGACAGGCAGAGTGGATCAGAAGTGGCTCCCAGAGAGAAGCAGAAGGACAGGGGAGGCGGCTGGGTGGTCTCTGCAGAAGGAGGGGATCTGCCCAGGCTCCTGCCTCCCGTGCAGCTGCACGGGTGAGCCGTGCCGGGCAGTGCATGCTGGGAACAAGAGCCCAGACCTGATTGCAGACCAAGGCTCAGGCAGGCCCTGTGTTGAGCCAGCACTGTCCCCGAGTGAAGGGCCTCTGTGCAGAAGGTCAGTGGTCAGCACAGGCACCAGTCACAGGAGCGTGGGCTTCTCAGCCTCCCTCCTGAGCAACGTCCTGTCCCACCCTGCGGTCCACACCCTGAGCTCCCCTCCCACTGCAACCGAGTCCTCCAAATGCAGACAGAGCAGCTTGGATGGCATTTGGCTGGTGACGAATGACCTTCCCAGAAGTCTGACATCTGCCAGAGCCAACTCTGGCCTCAGAATGGGAGAACGGGGCCTGGGAGTAGGGCCAGCCCTGTATCAGCTGCAGCAGGGAACTGGGGTGGGGCCTAGGAGTGGACAGCCCTGCGACCTGAGCCACAGTGGCCACAGACTGGGACCTATTTAAGGACAACAGAGGGTCCAGGGTAGGTGTTCTGCAAACCCTCAGGTGTGGCTTGGGCTCCTTGGGCTGCTTCTGCCCAGCCAGACCTCCCTAAGGAGACTCAGCCACTCAGCGGTTGTTCGTCCTTCCTTCAACAAGGGCCCCTGGCCCCACTGGGGCCCAGCCTCATGCTACATAGGGGTGTAGGAATAACTCAGACCCCACCCCACCCGGAGGGCCCCACCGAGGCTGGGAGATAGGCAGAGACCACACACAGTGTGTGATGCCACAGGGAGGGGCCCAGGCAGCAGGGCCACCAAGGAGAGGCCTGTGCTTCCACCTAGAGCCAGGAGAGGGGCACCCAGCTGAGCCAGCCCTGGAGCAGGGGCATCCTGGGCACAGGGGCTGCCAGGACACACCTGTGGGCCAGGGGCTCCCTACCCTCACCCTTCCCAGAATCTGTGCCAGAGCCTGGGGACAGCAAGTGGTTGCCCAGGGCCAGGACCAAGGTCAGTCTCAGGTGGAGCAACCTGAGGCCAGAGGAGCACAGACGGGTGGACACCCCATAGCAGCCTCTGAAGGCCTGCATGTGGGGACACTGGTATGGGCTTGCAGGCGCACACAGTGAGAGGGCACTGGAGGTGCCTCAGCCAGGTGGACGAGGAAGTGCCCAGGCCAGGGACTGAACGCTCGGACTTCAGGTCAGTGAGCTCCCGAGAGCCCAGCAGGCAGAGGCCAAGCAGCCAGGCCTGAGCCTCCCCTCCCTAACACAGGTGCTGGCCCTGCCAGGCGGGGTCTCCTGCCAGCTCTGAGTGTCCACAGGTGTGTGTCTGTCTCCTAGGAAGGCAGGCAGGGAACAAAGAAAACCCTCTGAGGGGCTGGTGTCACCTGTTTCAACTGCCGTCACCAGAAGAGGGCTGAGAACCGGCCCAGCTCCAAGCCTGGCTCCCCACCCAGGCTCCGGACCCCACAAACTACATGGGGCTGAGAAGAGGGCAACTTGGGGGGTCAGAGAAGAAGCACGGTTTGAGTCCCAGCCTCGTCACCTGACGGTGTGCTCACCTGACCGTGTTCCAGAGTCCCTGGGACCCACAGGTACATCCCTCCCATGCCCTGTGGCCTCTTCGCTCAGTGACTCCTGGAGGTGGCACCCTGGGGCGAGGGACAATGAATGGAACCTGGGAACAATGGGTGCATCTTTTATTCACAAATAAGAACTGTGGCGCGATGCCACCTACACGCCTGTACAGAGGCCTGAGCGCCCACAAAACGCATGGTGCCCAGGAACGCGGACGTGCCGGGCGGGGCATCCCTCAGCTTGGCAGGCACCGCTGCTCTGTGCTTGGTGCCCCCACTCTGCCCAGGGTGCCCCTAGAAAGAGCCCTCTCCAGCCCAGGAGACCTTCCATAGAAAACCATAAAAACATAGATCATTTGTCTTCAAATTCCCACTGCAAATCCGTGTTCGTAAGCAAAACAATACAAAAATAGGAACCCAACAGAACCTTACAAAACCCACCCTGCTGTCGGGACTGGTTTTTTTTTTTGTGTTTTTGTTTTTGCTGTGGTTTTGGTAAGAATTCCTGCCGTGGAAGAAGGCAACATGTACCCGTGGTTCCGTCCTCGCCCGTGCCCTCGCTCGGGACACAGCAGGGTCCTCGAGGAAGGGAGGGGACTCGAGGTCCGTCTTCCCACTCGGGAGACCCCACTGGCGCCGACCACTCTGCCAAGAGGAAAGGCTATGAAGGAAAAGGACCCGGGACTGAAAGAGCTGGTGAGCACAGGTCGGTCCTGCTACAGAACTGCTTGCTGCAAGGGAGCGGGTCAGACGCAAACACGACCGGCCGCAGCGGAGGCCACCAGGCCGCGGCCAGAGCCCACACCCCGTCTGCTGGTGTCTGGAGTCCATAGCACCAAATGTGAAAAGAAGCAAAGTCCAACTCAAGGTCAAAGGCACTTGCGTGGCTGTTCCGTGGCGACAGTCTTCCGGTCTCTGCGCACCCACTTGCTGTCCGCTGCCAGCCGGCCCTTTCCTCCCCACGCTCCGTCTCTCCTCTGAGCCCCCCATCCTGCACAGACCCCACATCCTCCTCCGTCTAACCCTCAGACATCCTCATGCCATCCACGTCCCGTCCTCACCCCCTGAACACCCCCCCATGCCCAGTGCCCGGCCTCAGACGTCCACCTCCTGCGGCCCTGGCACGGCGGCGGCGGTGGCAACGCTGATGTCGAAGCAGGTGACCATCATGACATGGGCTTTGCACAGGTTCACACACTGCTCCAGGGCAGCTGTGGCCCGCTCCAGGGCCACCAGGTACTCAGCGGACTCAGGCTCCAGCTCCGGATCCACCTCAACTAGAAGGTGGGACAGGGTCGGCCAGGGGCGAGCAGCGACCAGGCCCCACCCCAGTCCCTGGCAAGGCACCCGGGCCCATTAGAACCTCCCCCAGCACCGGAGGGCAACTAGAGGGCAGGGCACAGCTAGGGAGGGTCCTGCTGCCCAGCAGTGGCGGGGGGGGGGGGGGGGGGGGGGGGGGACTTACACTGCTCCAGCCAGCGGCCCGGTTCCACCATTAGTCGGCCCTGGGTCTCAGCCAGCTCCTCGCACAGGTGGTCACGCTTGGCCTGCACCTCCCGAAGCCGCTGCTGCCTGCGCTCTGCCAGCCGCAGCTTGGAGCTGACACACACGGGACCCTGGCAGCAGGGGACAGGCGCAAGAGGCCTCAGGCCTGGCCCACAAGCAGTCACGGGCAGGCTGTGGTTTGCTCCCAGGGCTCCAAACACCCTAGCCTTGGCCATGGCCTCCCTCCACCCACCAGGCACACATGGGGGCCTCATAGACAGGGTAGAACCTGTGGGGGCCACGCCCAGAGCTCCTGAGCAGACAGCAGGGACCACCAGAGGCCCAGGGCTGCCAGGGCTGGCTCCTACCTTCTCCACATCCTGGGGGGGCTGTGGGAAGAGAAGGCGAGGTCAAGGGTCACCCATGCTCCAGAGGCTTGGCGAGCCCCAAGGATACACGGCCACCCTGGCTCCCAGTGTCCAGCCCCAGGCCCCGCGAGCCCTGACCTGGGCAGGGTCTTCCCTCGGGGGTGGGCGGTGCCGCTGCAGGCGCTGCACATCGTCGATCTCATACACCTTAATCTCAAAAGGCTCCTTCAGAGCACCAGCCAGCGGCGGCAGGTCCACCCACTGCCCTGGGAGGCTGGGCTTCCGGCCCAGGGCAGCAGCGTCAGGCAGTGGGGCCGGAATCAGCCGTCGCCGCTGCAGACCTGGAAGGGAGAGCCAGAGCCAAGCGCTGGTGAGCAGAGACCAGGGCCCAGCTCCAGCCCTCTGCCACCCGCATAGCCACACCACTGCCCACAGCAGCAGCGGCACCGCCAGCCTCCCCCGGGGTACCCTCCAACCCCTGACTGGCCACACCACCCTAGTAGCACTCCCTGGCCCCAATGCCCAGAGTCAGGGAGGGGCCAGAACACTGTTCCCTGCAGCCTTGGCAAGGGTTTCCAGGTAGCTGGGACATCACGCCCAGGCTCTCGCCTGGCTCCCTGGGGCCCAGCCAGGGGACTGTGCTTGGACAGGGGTGAGCCCACCTCAGGCATGAGGATCAGAAGAGACACACACGGGTGTACCAACCAACTGGGGGCCTGTGCCCACCCTGTGCTTAGGGCGTCCAACGCTTAAACTGCCAGGGACCTACATCTGTGAAGACGACTCCTGTCTGTCCAGTCCCTGCTGACCTATGAACTGCCCAGGCCCCCATCCTATCCACCAAATGCCCCAGGGGTGCTCGCAACTATTGGGGCTGCGCACCCGGGCACCCTACAGGCCATGCCAGAGACCGCAGCTGTGAGGTGCCCCACAGAGGCCTGTCCATGGGAGCCAGCATGGGCTGCTGGGAAGGCAGGAGCCTGGCATGGGGCGGGGGCAGGCGCCACCACCCACCTGTGGCCCTCTTCTTGGGGGACTTGAGGCTGCGGCAGCGGGCGCCTGGGGAGGCGGCCCCACTCTCGCTGGTGGAGTCGGGGGCCGAGGAGGCGCTGCCCGTGGCCTCGCTGTCACGCATCATGCTCTCATAGCCGCTGCTGCCGCCGCTGTGGTAGAAGAGTGCTGTGCGGCCCATGGCGGGTGGGAGCTCCCCACTCAGCACGCTGCTATTGTCACTGCCGTGGCCACTGCTGTAGCGCTGGGGCCTGCGGGGCGCGGTCACCTTGCTGTAGGGCGAGGGCAGGGCGGGGCCCACAGGTGGCCGCTCCTCAGCCACGTTCACGCCGCTGTCGTTACCGCTGTCTGAGTCGGCCGACCCCCATGAGGAGCCTCTGCCAGGAGCTCCACTGGCCGCCAACTCATGGACACGGCTGTGGGCAGCCCGGAGCGCCTGCTTGGTGCCCATGATGGTGCCACGGCCAGCCTTGGCCCCGAGGCCAGGCGCAGCCCGTGGAGCCATCCGGGGACCCATCACAGGGCCACCAGGGGTCCTGCCCACCGCAGGGGCCAGTGGCTTCACTGATGTTCCCAAGGCCCGAGACCCGCTGGCCACGAGGCTACGGCCCTTGGCCCCACCAGTGGGGGGCTTGGGGGCTCCCATGCCCTTAGCCGGGCTGCCCCGACAGGCAGGGACAGGCCCAGGCGTGGGGCTGGTGGGCGGGACGCCCAGCCTGGGCACAGCCCTGGGTGGCCGCCCGGGGGCCTCCCTGACCTTGCTGCTGCCGTGTGCCAGGCCCTCACTCCGCTCCAGGGACGCGTGGCCGGCGGAACGGTGCACTGCCTCCATCTTGGCAGCTCGAGCTTTCAGGCTGGATGTAGCCCTGGGAATGGAGTGGTCAACCCGGCCACTGGGCCTGGACTCTTCCTCCCCTCGGAAGACTGCAGCTGCCCCGGCCCGGGGCAGGCCCAGGGCCTGGGGAGGGGCCGACCCCCCGCAGTTCTGCTCTAGGCTGGACTTGCGCACAGGTGGAGTCGGGGGAACCGCCCCGCTGGGCCTTGGGAAGAAGCCCCCCTTGAGAGCCAAGCTCCTCTTGCCGCTGGGGGAGGCCTTCAGGCTGCCTGAGCAGATGGCCTCAGTCAGGGTGTCCCCACAGGACACGGCAGGTGTAGTCACACCCAGAGTGGTGGCACCTCTCCGCAACGGTGGGATCCGAGCCACAGCCTCAGGCCTGCGGCCCCCCCTGGCTGCCACCTCGTACCCATCCACCACCCTCTGGGCACCAGCCAGCACGGCCTGTGCCTCAGGCATCCGGGAGATGCCCAGGGTGGGGCTTGAGGCCCCAACGGCAGAGGCCAGCTGCAGCATGTTACAGTCGTCAGCACGGAGCAGCCAGGGGTCCTCCAGTGGGCCTCCAGGGCCGGGTGGGCTCCGGCTGGGGCGGGTACATCCTGCTCGGCTGGCCAAGGAGGTAGTCCTAGGCTTCCGGGGGAGGCTGGAGTGGATGGTCTGAGCTGTGGCCGCCCCCCGTGGAGTCGCATCCCAGGGCTCCCTGACAGATCGAGCCAGGGCTACTGCAGTAGCCTCCCGAGGGTGAGGACTGTGGGCTGAACCAGGACAGACGGGCCCACCACGCTCCGAAGACCTGCAGCTGCTCTCCTCTGGGACACTGCTCAGGGGAGAGGTGTCTGCAGGACCAGATCCTGCTGGGAAGTCGGGGCTGAAGGGGGGCCCGGGTGTAGGGCTGGAGCTATTGGCAGTGCACACGCTGACCTCGCTAAGCCAGGAGCTGATGGACGGACCAGAGCTGCTGCCTGCCCAGGCCGTGCCCTCCAGGGCTCCTGCAGAGCCACAGGGACCCTCAGGTGCCTGCGAAGTGTAGGCATCAAACTCATCGTTGACACTGCTGATGATGCTGACTGGCCGAGAACCCGAGGCCAGGGCCTGCAGAGAGCAGCCGCTGCCAAAGCTGGCCAGGCTGGAGGGCCGTGTGGCCCCTGCCAGCCCCCCCAGGGGCAGCTCCTCCACCACTGTGAACACCAGCTCGTCCTCGCCGTTCAACTCCACGGGCTGCTGCAGGGTCACCGTGGTGGTCAGCAAGCCGCGATCCAGACAGCGGCTGCGAGTGGACGGGCAGGAGCAGGCCACGTCTGGGGAGGGAGGGGGCTGGCCCGCCTGCCCGCTCATGCCCACAGGGGGTGTCCGTACCATGCTGCTGGTGGCCCCTCCCCCAGGATCTGCAGGGGTTTCACAAGCTTCTGGCTGCTGAGGTGGCGGAGGGGCGGGGCTGGGCAGTGGCCTCCTGCCTCCATCCCCGGTGGCCAGGTCTGGGGCAGGTGGCTCGGGCCAAGTGCTGTTGTCCTTTCTCTGGTCACTCTGGGCACTAGCCCTGGAGGGCTCAGGGACACTCCGGTGTGTATCTGGGCCAGGGCTGCCTCGAGGGGTGCTGGCAGCCATGGGAGGGCCCAGAGCCTTCCTGGGGGACGCAGCCTCCGGGGGCGAGAGCTTCTTGCTCCCTCGGGCAGGGCTGGCCTGAGCTCCACCAGTGCCACCTGGGGGTCCCCAGGGGCCCTCACTGCCATCGATGCACTCCAACCGCTCCTGCAGCTCTGCGAAGGTGCTGCAGCGGAAGTGGTCGGCGTCCCGAGGGCCCTCAGAGGGCCGGCGGCGGCTCAGCGCAGGGATGATGGGCACGAAGTCGGGCGGGCCCTCGTTGTCGGTGAGCTCCCGGTCTGACAGCGCAGCCCCACTGGGCCCCACGTAGATGACCGTGTCACAGGACTGCTCACTGCTGGATGAGTAGTCAGGGTCGCCAGGAAGGCCCGGCACCGGGCGGTCAGGGTCCAGGGCCACCGTGCGTGGATGGAAAGGTCTCAGGTGTGGGGGGCGCCGGGCCCGGCCCTCCTCGCAGGAACTCTCCCCGCCTGAGGAGCTGGACGCGTACTGAGGGAAGGCAAGGCAGAGCCCATGAGCATGCCCCCTCTACTCCTCCTGGCCTCCCACCCCAGCCCTGGACCCTCTCTACAGCACAAGGCCGTGGTCTAGCTCCTGCCCCCGCCTGGACCTGCACTAGACTTAGGCGCACAACACAAGGTCTTCTGGGCTTCTCTCCCTCCCATGACAGATAGACGGAAATGCCACAGAATGGCCCCAGGATTCAGCTCAGCGCTGCCTCATCCCAGAATGCCCCAAAGGCCACACTCAGGTGCTGTGACTTGTGCCAAGAAGTCCCCTGATGGGGGTGCCCCAGTCCCATTTGCCCTGGGCTTGGTTGGTGCGGGGCCTGCTGCTGGGCCAAGCAACCCCACCCCCCACGGGAGCAGCTCTGCCTCTGCCTAGTGCACCAGGGGCTTCAGGCTCAGCTGGCAGGGCTATGTGGATGCCACCCGTGGCCCCGGGACACTCAGACTAGCAAGGACAGGCCCCTGCTGCTGCCACCCCAGGCCCCTGGAGGACACCGTAGCCTGGAGTTCCTCGGGTGGAAGGTGGAGGGGATCAGAGCCCACCTTGGCCTTCTTTCTGCGCAGGCGGTGGATGCGGGCGGCCAGCTGCACGGTGCTGAGCGTCTCGGCGTGGTGGGCGGGCGCATCTGAGACGTGGGCGATCATTGTGGTCCGACAGCCAGCGGTGGCCAGGGACTCCCGCAGCAGCATGGTGAGGCTGTGGTCCCTGAGGGCCAAGAGGCTCAGAGGCCCAGCCTGGGAGCGCCTCGGGGTAGGAGGCTGGGCGGGGTGTGTGCTCCAGGCTGGAGCAGGGGCAGGCTCCCTCCAGGACCAGGGCTGTGCCCAGAGCCAGGTCTGCCTTGCACCCTGGACATGAATGTGGCCAGCTCCCAGGACCACCCCAGAGAGTGCCTGCCCAGGTGCCTAAACTCACCTGTAGGGCACGTGCTTGGCCCCATTGACCAGAGCCAAGATAACGCTGCCCAGGGCCGACAGGGACAGACACAGGGGTCCCCCTGTGGCCTCTCCACCCCTGCCAGGTGCCACCTCACAGCTGCCCAGATCGATGAGGTGAAGACGGCTGCGGCCTCCAGACACTGAAAGCGCAGGGCGGAGCCTCAGGAGACGCCCTGGGCAGACGGCTCCTGGCACCCCCCACCCAGGCACCTACTTCCTCCCTGGCCGCACTTGTCCACGCGGTACTGGTAGACGTGCAGGGTGAAGAGCATGTGGGAGCTGCGCCGGGCGTCCTCGCCACAGCCTGCCCGGCTGGTGCTGCGAGCGGCCAGTGCGGCGTCCAGGTAGAGGGCAGCCTTCTCTGCTGTGGGCGCCCGCAGCTCGCTCTGACTCTGGAGCTGGAGAAGGGAGAGGCCACCACGCCTTTAGGGGCTCAGAGCCATGCAGCCCACAACCCCTGCCCACCTTCTGACCGTGGAGGGACAGTGGCCCAGGCGCACCTGTGACCCACATGTGGGGTCCTCTCGCAGGTACACGCCTGGAGACTGGGTGTCCTGGAGACTGCCAGAGGCCACCTCAGACAGCAGGTCGCGCAGGCTCTGGTCCCGGCCGCACACCTCCAGGGCCGAGACGCGGATGGAGAAGCGGGTGCCCGTCCTCTCCTTGCGCTCCTCCACCAGCCTGAAGAGCCAGGAGATGGCACAGGGCACCACGCCCAGGCTCTGGGGTGAGCTGTCCTTCCCGATCATGGTGTACGACTTGCCTGGGGGCCACGGGGCGTGTGAGGGTCCAGTACGGCCACTCAGGCCTCAGACCCACTCGGACTAGGGACGGGTCCCCTGGGCCCTGCCTAGGATACTCGGGTAATCAGGGGCTACTGAGACCCTGGGGCCTCTTGTCCATGGCAATCCCTCTGCCTCCCAGCTTGGGAAGCTCCAGCTTCCACCCCATGAGACCCCACCCACATGCCCACAGCGAAAGCCACCTTCCTCCACAACCCAGGCGCAGGGCCCAGGGATTGCAACAATGCAGATGGGGGACAGGGACAGGGAGCCTTTACCAAGACTCATGTGGCCAAAGGAAAAGATGCAGCCATCAGCCCCGCTGACCACAGACTGCAGCACATCGGCCACTGTCCCCGAGCACACTTCAGCCTAGGGATGGAGAGACCAGGCAGGTGTTCAGGCCTCTGTCCTGGGCACAAACAGGTGGTCAGCCCATGGGGCAGCTAAGCTGGCAGACGTGGCCAGGTGCACAGAGCTCTTGCAGGCACAGGAAGCGTGGGATGTTGGCGAAGAGCAGAGTACACGCAACACGTGCAGGACGCGCTAGCCAGACAGAAGCGCTGCTGCCAGCATGGACACACACCCAGGACACCAGACGACGCAGACACACGGCCACGCTGCCTGCAGGACCCTGGGGCATCAGGTGCCCCACCATAAGGGTGGAACAGCACCTCTCAGAAAGCTTTCTAGGACAGTGGGCTCCCACACGCCCAGCAGCACCCGGGAGACCCGGCCCAGGGAACAGGCAGGGCTGAGGGGTGAAGCCAGGGGCAGGGGCAGAGGCAGCTGAGGCAGGGAGCCAGCAGCCACCGCCACTGGCTCCACTGGGCCCACTTCCCCCTCACCCTCCTGGACACAGCACAGACCCCACCTGTTGTCCCCCAGGTCCCCGGGAGCTACGCCCCACTACCTGCTCCGAGTCCTGGGGGAAGATGGCATCAAAGGCAAACATCTTGGGGACAGCTGCAGTGCCAGCACGCCGGAGGCCCGCGCTGCCTGGGGGCCCGGCAGCTGGATCGTAGAGGGTCACTTGCTTTTTCCGGGGATCCACCTTCAGGTAGGATATGGACTCGGCTGAGCGCTGGACCCCCTGTGCTGGCCAGATGCGCAGCATGACTTTCACCTGGGGGGCGGGTAGAGCAGGCAGATGAGCACCGCCCCCCACCCAGCTGGCAGCTAATTACAGGGCAGGAGTGCGAGTCAGGACAGCGGACCAGGCCTCAGCACGGGCACCCGACACTGCAGGAATGCAGCCAGAGCAGATCCCGTATGAGGTCAGCGGGGCAGGAAAAAAACGAAGCCCAGGGCAGGGTGAGGCCCGCAGGGTGTGCGGAGCAGGGACGGGGAAGGAAGAGGAGCAGGGGTAGGGGCCCCAGACACTCCAGGAGCAGAGAGGTGCTCAGACCCTGCCAAGCAGTGCACTCTGGGCGCAGGCACAGGGAGCACCCTGCTGCCCCCACAAGCCTCTTCCCAGCGGCCCCGGCCCACGGCCTTCCAGGCTCTCATGACACTCCAGGGAGACAGAACAGCTGTGTAATGAACAAGCAAACACACCTCAGGGGCCCGGGGCTTGGTGCTTCTGACCCCCGCCCAGAAAGCCATGCTCCCCAAACTCTATGTCCCTGCAGAACTGGGGTCATCAGAAAGACAGTGGAGATTCCAATATATAACCCAGTCCCGTGTGGCCGGAGGAACAAGGCAGGGTGAGTGGGATGAGCCGGGCCTGAGCTCTGAGAGCCCTGCAGGTGACCAGTCAGCCTGGGCTTATGGCAGAACCAGTGGTATCCCTCTAAAGCACAAAAGAGATCTCTGAATGCACCCTGAGGCTGTGCCCCAGGCCCTCAGAGGAACCAGGGCTGGCCCAGGGCCCAGAGAGAAGCACTGCATACCATCATGGGTGCAAGGGGGCCCCAGGGCGTGTGACCTAGTGGGCAGGCACTGTTCCCCCCAGGGCCACCCTGGGTCAGGGCTCCTAGAGCCAGGCACTGCTCTGCTTTCTGAAGGACACCACCGTCCACTCTCTGATGAAATCTCCAATTTCCCCACGTCAGTGTAAATCAAATTACCCGAGACTCATTTCAGAGCCAATATTTTTCACGGATTTAATTGTAAGTGGCAGATACATAACGCCAGTAAAATTGGTTTACCGTGGAAAGTGCGCACAGGCACCATCCACCCCCTTGGGCATGCAGCACATTGATATGCAGAGCCTCCCCGAGTGGAGTGGGGTGTCCCACCCTCTGGGAGCTGCGAAGGAGCACTTGGCTATTGTGCTCATCAGAACCTGGGCTCCATCAGGCGAGAATCGATGCTTTTATTCCCAGATGACATGAACAAAACTACTTCATTTCCAGACGCTGCTGCAAAGCAGACGAAAAATGTGCACTTCCCAGTAATTTTTGGCAATTTTTTTTCAGCGTGAGCCCCTCACCGCTTCAAGAGCCAAATGGGTCTGGAGATTCAAGAAAATTCCTAGCAGAGAAGAGAGGTGGCAAAGCCCACTTGGGCCCACACCTCCTGCTGGCTGCCTCTGGAGCAGACACTTATCCCAGGTGGGAGGGGACAGGGCAGGGGCTGCACTGTCCAGCCTGCCCCCCGCTGCCCCTGTCCCAGTGCCAGGCCATTGTCTGCCAGGAGAGACCCTGTCATTACCACGGGAAATGACAGTCTTCAGGAGGCAAGCACACCAAGCCTCTCCCCCATGTGCAGATATCACAAAGCCCTGAATGGCTGAGGCTGCCTGCCAGAGAAGAAAACCACATTTTGCATAAAAAAGGAGGCTCTGCAGCTCCCAGAGGTGGCCCAGGCAGGGAGGGGGTGCTGCATCTCGCAGAGGGGATGTCTTTTTAATACCACAACATGATGAATTATCTTAAGTAGCACATTAATGTCAGAAACTGAATGTAATCTAACTTCTTTCCTGTGACAGTATTAAATGCTTTTCAGGAGGCATTTCTGACGCTGTGACATTAGCACTAATAACACCAGGCGCGGGAGGAGCGCGGGGCACCGGGAGTAACAGGAGCTGGGGGGCTGCAGGCCAGGGCTCCTGGTCTGGCGGAGGTGCTGAGTGGTCCAGGGCTGCCTGAAGTCCCCTGGGCCTGGCCCTGGGGGGTGGAGGGAAACCTCGGGGCCTGAAATGACACAGTGACAGTAAGAACAGGGCAGCTCTGGCTGCGGAGCTCAGAAGGCAGCCCCTCACTTCTTCATGGCCTGCCTGAGGGAGTGTCCCCCGACACCCACCACTAGCTTTGTAACCTTGGGAGGTGTGTCCTTCCATTCAGGGCCTCACTTTGGTCATCTTTAGGGTTCTATGAGAATTAAAGAAGAAGTGACCACCACACCCACTTTGCCAAGCAGAAGCCCAATGGGTACAGACAGGCTAAGTGACCAGGCCAGCCCGGATCAGAGCCCAGAGCCAGTGCTGGGCTGGGAGCCTGGTGCCACCTTCCGTCCCGACTGCCCAGCTGTCCTCCAGGTCTGCATCCCACATGGCCAGGACAGGGGCAAACCAGCATCCAGACTGCCTGCCCTTCATGGGACTGACTGTCTCCAGGTGGAGACACTGGGCACCCAAGTCAGCCAGGCTTGGACCCGTCCTCCCTCCTGGTCACGGGATGGGGCTGATTCCTCCTAAGGACACTGCTGGAAGACACAGCTCACAGGCCCAGCAGGGCCCAAAGACCCAGCAGGCGCAGGCACTGGGGTGGGAACACCCTCCTCCCATTTCTCCCCCCCATGCCGTGCATGAGGCAGGGACAGCTACTGCACCCCAGCACCTGTCCAGAGGGGCAGCAAGCCACCTCTCCAAGCAGCAGGCTGCCGCCCTTGCCCCTGAGCCCAGGGCAGCTCAGACAGAATCAGCAGTTCTGGGTCATGAAATGTCCACTTCAGGGACCCAGAGAGCCAGGCCACCCAGCCAGCACATATGCCACAGGTGTGGTGACCTGGGACCAAGAGGGGACATTAATTTATTCAGATCCACGCAGCTGGTCAGCCCAGAGGTGGGGAGTTTGCCAGGTGACTGCAGGTGTCTGAGGCTCGTGTGCTCACTGAAGGTTCCTGACCCTGAGCACAGGGCTGGCCAACCTAGTGTCCAGGCACCAGGTAAGCTTTGTGACGCCAATGGCAGCCTCACTGCCATCGACTCGCCTGGCGGGGGCGGGGCATCCATCCTGAGCTCTATGCAGGGTCCTGGGCCATGAGGCTCCATAACCGTCCCCAGATGTGGACACTCAGGAGGTCCCTTGTGGGGGGATGTGGTAAGGGAAGGACTCCTGGACCGAAGCGTGTCTGGCCCACGATGCTGTGACAGGCCAGCTGATGGAAGACAGCTGCCTTCCAGAAGGGGCTGTGAGAGCAGGTGGGCCAGCCTGGGCCCTGGGGCTGGGGGCAGAGCCAGTGCAACACTCAGCTTCCTGTCCAGGCCCATCCCCGAGGAGCTGGAGCCCCTGGGAGCACAAAGCCTGCTGACAGCCTGAGCAGGGTGCCCGCCTGTAGGGCCTGCCCCTTGGCTGGGCAATGCTGAGCAGAAGCCAGGGCATCCGGGATGGATGACTGGGCTGCAGAGAAGGCCACAGGCCAGAGGAAAGCCCACGGGCACACATCTGGCTTGGGGTCCACCTGTGGCCCCACGCCTCGTGAGCCTGCCCCCCATTTGCTGTGCACCAAGCATCCGCCGTGCCCAGGCGAGCACACGAGTCCCAGCTCGGATGCCCCTCAGGCTGAGGTGAGGTGCTTCTCTAGGCCCCTCAGGGGCAGCAACCCACAGGGCCCAGGGCCAGAGCTCTGGAGAGGGGCCAGGACCAGCCAGCCAGTCCCAGTCAGAGCCCTTGCCTTCTCCAGGCCACTGTGTCCCCACATGAAACAAGGGCCCCCAAATCAACTCCTCTCTCAGTGGCCATGGCTGGGATCTGCCTGGAGATGGTGACTTAGGAGAGGGCATCCCACCTCCCTCCCAGAATCCAGTGAGGACAAGGCAAAGAGGACCCCGGAGCAGGGGTCCCACAGTCCACGACCTGGCTGTCCGGCACATGCCCCCAGGGCCCCCCAACACACAACCTCACACCACTTCCTGCAGCCCTGCCACAGGAAGTCTCCAAGCCTCCTGCTTCCTCCTGGGCGCTGCACCTCAGGGCCCCAGCCTCCCCATCTGCACCCCTGCTGACCATCTTGCCTAAACTGGGAGAGTGAAGTGGGGCCCGTCCACCACCTGCACCTTCCCAGACACCCCTGACCTCCCAGGGGCCACCTGACCTCGGGGCTGGTCTACCTTTCCGAAGCTGCCGGGGTTATCCTTGGTCTTGGAGGCAGCCCTGAGAAGGCAGGGGGGCGCCGGGGGTGGCCACAGCTGCAGGACACCACTGAAGTCCGTGGGGTAGGTAGAGGTACCGCGGGCAGCAGGGGCAGGTGGAGGATGGTGCTTCTTGCGCTTGGAGGCCAGGCTGAGCTTCTGGGCAGCCCTGGAGAGGAGAAGCACCAGCAGCCATCTCTGTCACTACAGCACTGTGTCCACACACGCATAAGGCTACCTCGCCCTCAGACTCCACCCACCATGCCAGGAGACTCCAAGGAAACGTGGCCAGAGTGTGGCTGCAGGGCCGGGGTGTCGCCTCTCCAGGTGGAACTGCTGGAGCCACAGCAGTGTCCCCTCCCTGGCAACTATGCCCAGTACCAAGGCCAGGCAGGTGACAGGGGGTCCAGGCAGACGCGGAACCACTCCCTGCTCTGTGTGGGGCCCTGAAAAGCACTGTCTTTGTCTCCAGTCCTGCAGCTGCTGTGGGAGGCAGGCTGCAGGCCACCACCTGCAGGACCTCAGTGCCGCACCTGTAAGGTGGAATAACGTGACCCCTGGTAGCCCTCGTGCGGTCCCTTCAAGGTGCCTGCATATATGAGGCAATCAGTTAATGGTGCTACCATGAGTACCATGCCTGGCCCTCCCCAGAGGAGACAGCCTCGGTCCTTTGTGGATACCACAGTCAGCGGAAGCAGCCCCTGGGCCCTCTGATGGGCGCCCACACCTGCGAGTCTGGCAACCACTGCTGTGGACTCCCAGGGTACCCAGCAGACCCCAATCCAGGATGTACACACATAGGACGGGCCCAGGCACCACAGGCCGTGCCTCAAGCAGACCCAGGGACACATCCCAGGTCAGTCTGCTGTGCCTGGTCTCACCAGTTCCTGGGGTGGGCTTCCTGGCAGCCCCCAGCCCTCCACCTTCCTGCTCTACACAGTCACTCCCCTGGGCACACCCGCTCAAGGCCCACATCCTGTGCCCAGCACCAGGCCTGCACAACCCACCCCATGTCCTCCAGCACAGGAAACCCAGGGTCATCTCCCACATGAAACTGTGCACAGGTGACCCTGGATGAGCCCTTCTCTCTGTGCCCGTCCTGACCTTCTAGTGGAGAAGCCCCTGGTGAGGGGCAGGCCACCAGGAAGTGAGCGGGCTGCAGACGGGCGCCAGGCAACACCAGTGACACTCACAGCTCCCCTCCCAGCCCTACCCCACACCATTTCTCCCGCCTCCCACAAAGCCCCCTCCGTGCCCAGCTCCCTGGGTCCATTCCGTCCACCCAGGACCCAACACAGAAGGGCCCACACCTGGGGCCACTCAGCCTCCGCCCCACCTCCCACCACGGGGAGCTCTGTGGGCGGCATGCGAGAAACTCCTCTCATCTTTAATAAGAGTTGTCTTTTAAGAGACCCCGGGGATGGCTTCCTCCTAGCGAGGTGTCACCACAGAAAATAAAAGTAATCTACAACACACGGAGGAGTCCTCCACAGAGCCCCAGCAGGCACCGTGTGCGCCCAGGCGAAGCCGGGCAGGAGACAAGTTCCCACGCCAGGAGTCCTCGGCCTCGGAAACTTGAATTCCTGGGTCCTGAGCTGATGGCAGCGGTGGCACCTGCGCCCTGGGGATCCAGGCCTGTGTCTACTGCCCTCGGGCCTCACACAGCTTCAAGAGCGCCTCCCAGAGGCCTGAGCCCAGGCCCTCCACCTCTAACCACCTGCCAGCAGGCCTCTGTGCCCCCCCGCCGGCCCCGGAACCTCACAGCACACCTCCCACAGAAGCAGCCCAGCCCTGTTGCCTAGCTCAACGGTGCACCTGCTGCAGGGCGGGAAGCCAAGACAGGGGACCCTAAAAGGCAGAGCCACATCCCACCCCTGGGGAGGCCAGCATCAGGCAGGCTGTGCCTTCCATTGAGGTCAGCAGTGTGAGCAGGCTTGAATTTCATCAGTCTGTTCCAGGGCTCTGCCGGCCTCCTGCCCTGGACCCACCCTACCTCTGGGGTTACCCTACAGCTTCCTCAGGGGCCTCGTGGGAAGAAGCTGCAGTCCTGCCCCCAATGAAATGAGGCCAGGGCTCGGTGGGTGCCAGAGAGGCCCAGGGACAGGGTGAGGAGGGTCCCAGAGTACCCCTACATCTGCACCCGGTGCCCGTTCCCAGGATTCAAGGGCAGGGTGTGGGCTAGCCCCCCAGGGGGACAGCAGTGGCCAAGGCACACCACCCAGAACCACCTCCCCACCCTCCAGCCACCTCCAGTGCCCAAGACCCACCAGCCACTTCCACAGAAAGACCACCAACCCCAGCCTAGAAGGCTCCCAGGGGCAGGGCACGCTGAGGCCAGCTGCCCTCGGTCCTGCTGAGGTAGAGGTGGGAGCCCAGGACATGCCAGCAGGAGCCCAAGTCCCATGGTCTCTTGATGACTCTGACAAGCCCTGTCCCCACCCCACAAAGCCAGCAAGCAAGCCAGAGAGCAGGCAGATGTGCCGAGAGCACCCCTGATCTCACCCCCTTGGGTCAGGGTCTCACCAGGGGTCCCCTGCCAGGACCATCACCTGGCAGGCCACCCACCCCCAACCTGACCCAGGACCCACCACCTGCCCTGGGCCTTCAGGAAGAAGGGCCTTCACTGTGATTCAGGGCAGCTAATGGGCTGGAAGTAATGGCAGGCGGCAGGGCTCCCCCCTCGGGAAACCTGCCTCTGGTCCCCAGCCCAATGCGCTTGTTTCTTTGTTTCTATGGTAACTTCCCAAGGTCAGCCGCTGAGCAGGCAGGGAGCAGCGCCAGCCTTGGCGGAGACAAAAGGCACAGCGCCCGCTCTGCTGGGGCTCGGGGTCGCTAATGAGCCGGTGTGGGGGACGGACACCGCCCTGCACTCCTCAGTGACAAGACCCTTCCTCAAACACCAGGGGCCTCAGCGGCAAGGTGGACCCAGGGGCGCGGAGGTGGTTTTTCTTTTGCAGGAAGTCTCCTTTCCATTCCCACCTAGGAACGGTCCCCCAGGAGCCCCAGGGCACAGGCCCTGAAAATCAGGACAAGGCAGGGTGGGACGGTACCAGCTGCACTCTCCCGGGGCACTGCTGACCACTGCTGGCACACACCTAAGCAGGCTGGGAAGGACCCCCGCCCCCCCCCCAAGAGGGTCCCAGCAGGGCTCTCTGCACCTGATTGGGGTGGCGGCTGAAGCCACATCCATCAGGAGGCAGACCCGCACAGCCGCCAGCCTGTCCCTCAGCCCAGCGCGACAATGCCCTAATCATATGCCCCGTCACTCCCCAATCAGGCCTGCAGCCCCCGGAACAGCACTGATAAGGCATCCCCTCCCGCCTGCCTGGCGTGATTCATGGACAGGCTTATCAGCACCCGGGCGGGCTGCTAATGGGACACTGACCCGCAGCTGGGCTCGCCATTACCACTCATTACCGCGATTACATCCTGTGATCCACATCCCCCAGCCACGGGCCTGGGTCCGCCTTGGGGCTGAGGCGGGGGAGAAGAGAAGACTCTGCTCCTGCACGCCAACCCCCACCTCCCCACCCTGAGCACCATGTTCCCTCTGCAGGAACCAGACCACCGCCATATCCCGGCTTCTGCTGGGCATTCCAGGGTCTGAGCCTGCAAACCACAGCCAGTCACTCCCAGAAACCCAGCTCTAGCCTGGGACAGAAAGCCAGGGCACCAGCACTGGGCAGCCAGCCACACCTGCGTTCCCACCTCCACCCACTGGGTGAACAGCTGGCAAGGCCCCGTTCTAAGAGGCCATCGGGGGCAGGGGCCCAGGTGCCCTCATCACCCTCCATAGGACTCTGGTGCACACTGCTGCCCAAACAGCCCCGGGAGGACTTACCTTATAAAGAAGGAGGCTGCGGCCGAAGAGGGGCCTGTAGAGCCCCCTGCAGAGGCGCCTGGGGCTGGAGTGACCAGAGCCGATGTGCAGGCCCCCCCACGGCCCCACACCTTGGACACGCCATCAGGACCCGCCATGGGGGGACCATCTCGGACCGTGTCTGCCACCGCCACAGCAGCCACCGCTGCCTCAGCCTGCAGGGAAGGAGAGTCCAGGTGAGGAGCAGAGGGGCAGCAGACACGCCCACGGCCCAGGCACCACCCCACCCCAGCACACCCCTGCCCTGACTCCTGGCCAAGAGGCTGGGAGACGGAGGCAGGGAGAAGGCCTGGCTCCCAAGGCAAGGCAGGAGGACCCTGGGCCAGCCATGGCGTGCACCTGGCCTGCCATGGCAGGGGCCCTGCAACCAGGGCCTGGTTCTAGAAATGCAGTGACCCCCGAGGTCAAGGCAGCTGGACAGGGCCCTGTACCCCTCTCACCTGGACCACATGCGGGGGCCCAGAGACACAATCAGACAAAAACCACAGTAAGTATCTGGCACAAGCACTAACTGCCCACGTAGGAGGACGTGTTGTGCTTCCGCTGTCTGAAATACTACTCTGGCATTTCCAACTAATTAGCTAAAATAAATTCCAGAAAGGAGACAGCCCCATAATGAAGCTCAAATGTAATTAAATGCTCCCCAGGAAGCACCCAGCGGACCCAGGACCAGCTTCCGCTTGTGATTCGCAGCATATCTGGAGCCCTAGACCCCAGGCAGCACTGGCTCTGGGGGGCAGGGGCTCACTTCTCCCGGGGGGCAGCTGCTCCAGACCCTCCCAGCCTCCCAGCTCCACCAAGCGGAGTAAACCTGCCCGAGGCGTCCTCTGTCCGGCTGGCATAGGGCTGCAGTGGCCTGGCTGAAACACAGGTCTGTCTAGTCTGGTGATGTGGGGGCGGAAGAGTCCACTGTCCTCAGGGTCTCCCAAGGGGCACAGGCTAGAAGCAGGTATGCCACCCAGGCCCAGGAAGGAACATTCCAGAAAGAGTCCTCCTCACCGTGGAGGAGAGTCTCACCCTGCCAAGCCCACAGCCAACAATGGCTTCCAAACCCTTTCTAGGACATGGAGCAGAACTCGTCTGTGAAGGATCAGTGGAAGCCCAGCATCCTCCTGGCCCCCAGAGCAGTGGGCACTCCCCACAGTTGCAGGAAGGAAAGGTCAGTGGCAATACAGGGAAAACCTAGAGCTTGGAGAAAGGGACAGCTGGGGCAGCTCACAGGCACTGGGCCAGCACACCATACCCACCACAGCCTGAGGCAGGAACTCCTCCACACCCCTCAGAGCCCAGCCTGGCCGGCCCTCCCTTTCTCCAAGCCACTCTCTCACCTCAAAGTATTTTTGTATCACTTTGTTTTAAGATCTGAATTCCCTTGCTGAGCAGAGTGGCATAGAAAAGAATTAATCTTAAAATCACGATGTTGGCCACCAGAGCTCCTTGGAGCAGAGCTGGGTTTGGCTGAGCACCCACTGGACACCCAGCCAACATCCCAGGGCCAGGGGCTCTTAGGTGGGCAGGGGGCGTGCCACCCACAGCCCACTTGGTGCTACAGGTGGCTCTCACCAGCCAGTGATGGCACTGCCAAGGGAGCCCAGGCAGCATCCCAGTGCCAGGCCCAGCCACACCACGCACCTGCCTGCCTGCCAGCCCAGGGGGACGGAGGCCACAGTGCCGACAGCTGGGCCCTGGCCTACCCACCTGCTGGCCCCAGCAGGCCTGCTCAGTCCTGCCAGGCGGTGCACGTGGGTAGTGGCGGGGCCTCCCCGCACTGACCTGTCTCAGGAGTCCTGCATGTGCCTTGGCTCCACCGTCCCGCGAGCTGCCGTGACAGGGCTCCATCCATCGGGTGGACGGCCACTGCCAATTCCTGCCAGAAGCAGAGCCCAGGCATGCCAAAAGAAGCCGTCCCAAAGCCAGGCGGAGCGGGGAGGGAGGGCCGGCAAGAGGGGAGACCACAACACGGGGGCCGGGACACAGGGAGGGCGGCCAGACAGACAGCGGGCAGGCGCCAGAGCAGCAACGGAAGGGAAAGCACGAGAGAGCGGAGCGTGAGGCCGGCCGGCGGCTAGAGAGCCCGCGCCTCGCTCCCAGCGCCCGACACCAGCCAGCCGGCAGGGCCCAGGCCACCGCTCCAGACTCCAGGGGCCGCGAAACTCGGTTTAGGAAATACAGAAACACCCATTTCCTACACGCACTGGGCCAGACTCCACAGCTGTGGACTCTGAAGGACAGCGTCCACCAGCGTCCTCCCCAGGCACTACAGAGGGTGCTGAGGCGTGGCCGGGCAGTCAGGCTGAACCCACAGACGCTACCTCACCCTGCACAGGCAGGAAGGGATGCTCGAGCCTCCGTGAGCAGACTCCCCCACCCCCTGAAGCTCCTCCTCATCACCCAGAGGCCTTGGGCACCTGGAGAGCCCACACTGGGAAGTCCTACCCCCCAGGGGCCTTGCCCACTCCCACACCACAGAAGCATCATCACAGCCTCAAAAGAGGGCCACCCTGCCAACCCCTGACCTGGGGATCGCACAGGGCACCAGCAGTGAGTCAAGAAGCATCATGGAGAGCCAGGCCTGAGCCCACCTAAGCCCCCTCCAGCCTATAGCCAGGGACAAGGGCAGGGGCACCATCAGCCTCCTGCAAGGCTCACAGCAGGGAGCAGGCAGGCCCAGGGCAGGCAGCAGGAACCCCAGGCCAGTGCCACCAAGCACCAGGGACAGAGAGACTCCCTAGCTCCAGGGGCCTCCGCTCCTCGGCTGTCATCTGGGGGTATCCACAGGAGGCCAGGGCTTCCACCCCACAACCTCTGGGGGTACAATGAGCACAGGTTTCCTTGGTCTCTGTGAAGGTCCCCATGGGCACTCTCAGAACAGTGTGTCCAGAGCCTGGCAGTCCCAGGAGCAGGCTAAGGCAGGGGGTTTGAGGCAGCCTGCGGCAGTCCAGCACCCCTAGAGCTAGCAAGGCAGGAACAGGCCCAGAGCCCAGATCCTGGGGCAGCCAGGTTCTGCAGAGCTGCCCCACCTGACAGTCTGGAATGGACTGCTGGGCCTCCTGCTGGGCAGCTCCACAACTGCCTGGATGTTCAGGAGGTGGAAAGGTCCAGAGAGGGCCACACTCTGAGCTCGTGGACGCTGGATGTGGGAGGGGCCTCTAATGGCACCAAGCTGGCCATGGCTGCTCTACCAGGACTCAGGGCTCTCCAGGACAGTCATGGCCACAGAAAGACCCAGAGCAGGACCACCAGGGCAGGCTCCAGCATGGCCTCCAATACTCTGCACCCTTGGAGCCCTGGGTCCCCTTCCTCCCACTCCAAGGTCCAGCCCTTCTGGTCAGGCCTGGCTATTCCTTCCCAGCATCCCACATTGGCCTCAGCCAAGATGACAGTGCCCACTGGGCTGAGCCCTGCCCACTCAGTTCCACATCCCAGGACAGGGGGCCGCAGGCTGCCCAACAGCTACGAGACCAGGGGGCTGGACCCTGGGGTCTCCACAGCAGCACACAGCATGGCGAGTGCAAGGCCATCTCTAGGATCGATGCCCTGACCCGGGGACACACCTCACCTGGGTCCTCGAGTCCTATTTACAGTTCTAATAATCCCCCTATTGATGGCTGGGGCTATGCTCTAATTATAAATCCATGCCCGCCTGCCCTGAACACAACTGACCTGCTCATAAAGCAGGGAGCATGTGCGTTACACACCCACGTTTCATGGCCTGCTGGCCACCAGCGGGGCTGCCCGACCTGGGGCCAGTGCCCCAACTGTCCCCTACCACCACACCAAGCACAGTCAGCCTCACACATTCCCAGAAAACGCAGGGGATGCGGCCAGGCTGGCTGTGGATGGGGTGGGGTGGGGGGGAGGCAGCTCTGGGCCACCACCTCAGCCTCCAGCCCTTGGAACCCAGCCCAATACTGCCCCCTCCAAGAAACCTCTCAGCTCAGCTAAACAGAAGTTGGCATCTGCGCCCTCCCTGTCCCAGGGCTGCCCCAGTGTTCTCCTCCAGACGTCAGGCCAGGAGACCCAGAGGGGCTGGCCTCCTCTTGCAATCTTCCTGGGCGGGCGAGCGGAGGGGCCTCCTGTCCAGGCTGGGGCAGCAAAGCCAGTCCTACAGTGAGTCGTCACACCCGCTGGAGGCCAGTTAATGTCAGTTCTTCCTGAGAGCCTCAGATGCACCCCGCCCCAAGGTCAGTACCAGTGGCCCCGAGGGGCAGCCTAGCAGCCAGCCCAGGGATGGTCTCAGCTCAAGGAGTCTTGGGCCACACCACATCCAGGCAGCACCATGTCACCAGAGTCAGTGGGGCCAGCCAGCAGAGGTGGGACAGGGCCTGTCCTGTATCAATACTGCCCAGTGGCTGTGGGACCTGTCCTTTAACCACCCTGGGGGTCAGAGGCCAAGGACCCACCTACTCACTTAAGAGACTGCCAGCAGGAGAGCCCATGCAGCTGGCCTGTGTCACCTGGAAGTATACTGGGCACAGCCACCGCAAGGCCTTCTGCCCTGACCCCAGGTGGCTATGCAGGGGGACCCTCCATAGGCCTCCAGCTCCAGCTCCACTCAGACCATTTACTCTTCCTGCTGGGTCCTCCTGCTTTGTCCACCTGGGGAACCCAGATCAACACTGGGCACACACTGGAGGGTCCTCTGTCTCAGTCCTCAACAAGCAAGTGGCTACAACTAAGGGCATGGTGTCCCTGGAAATGACCCCAAGTCAGGTGGGGCTGATGCAGGGTGCTCTTCTGGGAACAGGCCCCCCCACTCTGAGACCCCCAGGAAAGAGACTCCATCCAGCAGGCTCCAGGGCCAAGTGAAGAGCAGCTGCAGAGATGGCCACTGGCCATGCAGCTGACCACCTGGTCCCTCCATGAAAGCAGCCCGCCCTGGTCAGGGCAGCAAAGCCAGCTCCAGCGGAGCCAGAGTCCTGGAAAGGCTGTGGGAGGGGGGCTGGGACACCTCCAGTCAACACAGTCTCTGGCCTCCTCCGAGCACAGCAGCCAGCCTGGCAGTGGGCGTGGAACCTGGCCACCGGTGAGGCCCCATCCTTCATGTGGCTCTTCCAGACCTGTCCCCTGAGTCGTGCCCCTCTGGGAAGCCTAGTGTGGCAGCTCCTCACTGGGAGCCACTCCCTCTGCCCCAACCCAGTGTAAGGACTGGAACTGTCCAGGAGACCTTGGGTCCCTCCGTTGGCCACAGCATCACCCATGACCTCAGGAGCAAGACTAAGGTGGTGACAGCCACTCCCGAGGAGGCAGGGGATGCTGCAGCCAGCACCCCCCAGGGCACCCGATGCGGGTCTCAGGAAGGTCTGGGGACCCCTACGCCACAGTCCTCCCTGCAGAAGCCACCCCTACAAGGCATTTGAATGTGGGGGGCCCTGGGAGAGGACCCAGTTCTGACCCACCCAGGACACTCACCAGGCAGGTGGGTGGCAAGAAGCTGTTGACTCTTGAGACGCTCCACATGCCCTCCAAGCACTGCTGGGCCTGGATGGTGACCGTGCTCAGCGCCCCGCCCAGGCCCGCCGGTGCCACAGACACCTGGACACTGGGCCCAGACGGCCAGGCCATCCCCTTCCTCCTGTCAGGCCCCGCTGAGGGCTGCCTCCCTGCAGGACCCGCTGGTCCAGGGGCATCCCTGGGGCTGCTCATGGTTCCAGCGCTGGGGGACACAGGGCCTCCTGGAGGGGCGTCAGGGTCCCCTCGGCCGGCAGGGGCCTGGAGCAGGCGCAGGGCCTCCCGCGTGAGCTGGTGCAGGTGCATGGTGCAGACGTCACAGCGGCTCTCGGCCTCCGGGCGGCAGGCAGGCAGGACCCCAGGAGCAGGCAGCTTGTCAAGAAGCAGAGCAGAGAGGCAGGGATCCTGAGGACAGCCAGGGACAAAGGCTCAGTCAGTGCCGGGATGGGAGGGCAGGCGCAGAGCCCACACCCAGGCCTCACCTCTGCGGCACAGAGGGCTGACGCCAGGCCACGGAGCCATCCATAACTGATTAATAAGCCCCACACAGTCCCATCCACAGAAGCCCAGCAGGAAAATAATTATTGGAACTTAATAGTGAGGTTCATGGTGCCCTTGATAGCCACGCGCCTCTCGCGCCGTCACTAACCTCAGAGCTCGCAGCTAACAAGGCGTGCTGGCGGCTCCTGGACAACCGGCCTCTGGGCCCAGGCCTGGCCCAGGTCGGGAGGCCAGCGGGAACGGCCATAGGAGCCTCCCTCACTGGGCAGGCGGGCAGGGTGGGGTGGGGTGGGAGAGTGCTGGAGACCCTCTCCCTGCCTCCCCAGGTCTCCAGCCAGCTGGAGGATGAAGTCGGGCACCAAGAACGTTTGACAAGACCCCGGGTGGGCGAGGTCATCTCCAGAGCAGCAGCAGACAGAGGCAAGGCCACCCTCCCTCACAGAGCTGGGGACACAGGAGGTCCCTAGCCATAAGAGTGGATCCAGAGGTGGCAAGGACAGGAGCCAGAGGAGCCACAGGCCCCCACCTAGTCAGAGGGTCCTTCTGGGGGGCCACCTTTACAAAGAGTCAGGGAAGGGCCAAGTCTCAGGGTGAAGCTCCCCAGTGGCCCCCTCCCACATGCCCCAACGTCCCCAGTTGGCTCTGCTCCTGCCCAGAGCTGGCCAGCACCCCCATCAAGGGCCTGCCCAAACATAGGACACCTGGCCTAGGCAGCCCCTGGGACAAACACCAGCCTAGCCGACCTGTGGTAATGGCCACCCCAGGTTTTCCCAGGGATCACCCTGATAGAGCCCAGGGTCCTTTCCCAGTGGGTAGACTCTACCAGTCCCACCGCCTGTCCCCAACCTGAGCCTCCCTGCCATATAAGAACCCCAGGGATTTCCAACATCTGGCTCCTATCCAGCTCCTGAAGTGGCCACACGAGACGATGGCTTCCCCAGACACTCCCATTTCTCAGCTGAGGAAGCTGAGGCCACCACAGAGGTGTATCTCATTTGCTGTGGCAGCTGAGGGGTCCTTGTCCACCACGCATGGGAAGCACACAGTGGTGAGAGCTGAGCTCAGATGAGGGACCCTGGGCCCAGCATGAGCAGGGGTCTCTCTTCTCCTTGTCTCCAGTGCCACCCCACCCTACAGGGTAAGCCCTGTACATGTGACCCCAGGCAGACCTCATCAGATCAAAGGCAGACCTGGCCGGGCCCAGCGGGAGCTGCCTGCTGGCTTGCGGCCCCTGGAAAGGCCTGGATTTCCTCCAGGCTCTGAGGTGCCTGGCAGGTCTGGTCCTGATGGGCCAGCACCCCACTCCCTCTCGCACCCCTACGGCGCCCCACTCCCTCCGCACCCCTGTGGGAATTCAGTGAGCTCAGCCACAGGGAGCCCTGCAGGGAAGGAGGCTCCACCAGAAATCGCCCTGGGGCAGCTGGCCCTGAAGTCAGACGCACACAGGTCCACACCAGGAAGCCAGCGTCCCCTCCCAGATGACCTCCACCCAGAGCCAAGGGCCTCAGCCCCCAGCTGCAGGCTGAGGGCAGTGGGGCCTGTTCGCAGTCCAACTCTGATTGCGCCGATCTTTCCACTCGGCAGGAGGCTGTGAAAGGGAAGGAAGTGCCCGCCTGCTGGAGCCATTAACTGACCTGGAAAGGTGGCCAGTCCAGACCTAGCTCCAGCCTGAGGCCCCAGGCCCACTGCCCTTTGTTCTGGGGCTTGGGGACAGGCTGATGACCTCCACTTGTCTTGAGGCCGGAGGCTTCTAGAGGAGCCCTTTACCGGCTTCATGGCCTGTGAGCAGGTGGCAGGAAGGAAAGCCGAGGGGCAGGGCAGGGCCGGGAGCCCTCGGTGACCTGCAAACTTACCTGGCCCTTTGCAACCTGGCCAGGAGAGAGTGGGAAACAAGGTGACAAGCCGAGCAGCCCTGGCCCAGCCCCTGCTGCCAGGCCCCCATCCCACGGGGTCCTCGGGAACTCAGAGCCCTATCCAGGGCTCGGCCCTAGGAAGAACCATGGAGTCCAGGGAAAGCTCACCAAGCTCAGGTTCCACCAGGAAGACCACAGAGGCTGCCTGGTCACCTGCTCAGCGGTGGCAGCCCCTACCAGGCAGCTCAGCCGGGGACCTTCTCCCCGAAGCTGGCCTGCTTCACAAGCACCCAGGCTGGGCCCCTCTCCTAGAACAGCATCAGGCCCACTGCTCACCACCAGACTCCCGCTGGCCCTGGCTTGAGACAGGGGCTAGGCAAGAGAGGAGGAGAGGGCAGCAAGGGTGCTGAGTGAGGCAGGCAGGCCCCAACAGGCCAGGGGACAGCAGGGCACAGCACAGATCCCGGAGCCTTGGCTGCTCAGGAAGCATCAGAACTACTGAGCAGAGCACCCAGGTCACTCAGAACCCAGCCTGCTCCAGAGGGACCAAGACTGCACCACCCACGAGGCTACCCCCTTGCGGCCGAGATGGAGCCCAGCCCAGAGCTCCTGGGCATGCAGGGCTATGGGGAGGCGGGGGATGAAGGAGGGGTCCTCACAGCACCAGCTGCTCCCTTCAGGCACCCCAGATGCTACCCCGGCAGACAGAGGCAGAGCAGCCCCACAGCCCCACCTCCTCCCTCCCTAGCCTGCTCTGTGGGCCCAGGGCAGCAGCAGCACATCCTGCATGTTGGAGGGCTCGGCCCAGACTGCGGAGGAGGGGGAAGCCCAGGAGAGCCAGCCAGACCTTTCCCCAGGCCAGCTCTGCGTGCCCAGTCGCCCTGGCAGCTCAGGTGTCCACAGACCCCAACCTTTAGGGCTTGCTGCCCAAGTTCAGGATTTTAAGCCCCAAAAGCTCCATCACAGGGCCCGGGCCCGTTGCCCTCCCCTTGAAACCCAATGCCTTCAGAAAGACAGTAATTACCCCACTGCAAAATATTACTTTTAATTTTCTTTTTATAGTCTAATTAAACAGATATTTTACTTGCATTTGGAAAAGGTTTTTCTTCATTTGATTCAATTTAGCACTGGGTAACACCCAGCCACCACACCACGGGCGTCAGGGAGCCTCCCGGCTTAGAAATGATATCTTCCCATCTTTCATTTCACTTCTGGGGTCTCTGGGTTGCTTTAAGTAATCCTTCCATTTTCTCCCATGTGGGAGGCTGCCCTGTCGCCAGCGCCAGGAGAGAGGGGACAGAACAGGTGCAGACCAGACCTCCGCCAGCTGAGGCCACTAGGGGGGTGGAAGGGGGCTGTGTCCAGGTCCAAGCAGTCACAGTGTCCTCCGCGGAAGGCCTTCTCTGAGCCCACCACCCTGTCTCTTCAAGGGGGACCCAGAACCACTGGGTGATCCAGGGCCACTACAAAAGCAGTCACAACCAGGGCCCCCACCCGCAAGAGGCCCCAGACTCAGGGGTCCCTCTCCTGCTCCACCAGTCAGGCGTGAGCAAGTGGCAGCCAAGCACGAGGCCCCCACAGCCGCAGTCCCCTCTACATGTCCTCCCTTCCCTTCCCAAACAAAGCCTCTGGGCCATGACCCCGTGCAGCCACGGTTTCCGGAGTTGACAACAGGTCCAGGAAGGGACCCGGACATGGGGCCGATGGCTGCTCTAACAGGCCCTGCTACTGAGGACAGTCCTGTGTCTCCCGCAGCCTGCTGGGACAGGCAGCCAGGAGACAGGGCTCAGTTTTCCAGCCTAGAAACTGGCATCCAGCTGTGGCTGTCCTGCACCCCAACACTCGCCAAGCACCTCATCAAAGGCTCAGACCCTCCATCTGACCATCTGCAGCTCATCAGAGGGGCTCTGGGCCAACCCAGGCTATCCTTCTCTGCCAAGCCAAGGATGTGGCCCGGCCCACCCAGCACAGACCGGCACGCCATCCCCAGGGCCCTCTGCCAGGCACCAGACCAGCTGGACCTCTCAGGCACAGGCCAGCTCCCCTCCTCCTTCAAAGGCCTCCCCTGTTCTCCACCAATGCTCCAGCAGAGCACAGGGAGCCCTGAGGGGCCCAAGGCCAGACAGACAAGGATGGCCTCGTCTGGGTGGGGTGGCAGCAAGTCATCAGGACACCAGCCACCCCGTGGAGGTACTACAGGGTCTCAGAGTTGCATCTGCACTCAATCCTACCCCCCACCCCCCACCCCCATGCAATCTGTAGCGACTGGGCCAAGCACAGGCCCCTGCTGGCTGTTCACTCCTGGACAGCAGGGAAACACCACCCTCAGAGCCACAGCAGATTCTCACAGCCTGGATGGGCAGGCCAACCCCAAAGCCAGGGTTGGAGGTGCCTCTGGCTCAGCTCCAAGCCCCAGGAGGCAGCAGGAAAGGGACATGTGCAGAATCTGAATCAGCCCTTCCCTCCCAGCAGGTCCCAGGACCCCTGGGAAGACACCAGGAGATGACAATGTGTGGGTGACCACAGATCTGTCCTGACCACAAGTCCCCTCCAATATGACCCCCCAGAAAACCCAAGGCTGGGTCAATAGGCAAGGCCTTCAGCTGCAGCTCCTTCACAAAAGGCTTCCTGGGACCCTTAGGCCCCTGCAACTGCAAGCCACACTGCAAAACTGCCACCCACCTGGCTGCCCCATCCCCCAACCCACTGCCCTTAAAAGTCCCCAGAGCTCTTACTGCTCCCACCCCCTGGAGACTCGCTTCATCTCTCCACGGGTCTCGGGTCTCGTTCTAACCTCCCACGAGCTGCACCTCCCCATACCGCTCCCCCAGGGCCCACTGCTCTTTGGTCCAGGCACAAGCCGAGGAGGAGAAGCCAGGCGACAGGCTCCACCGCATGCGGGGCAGCTTGTGGCCTCAACGGGTCACGCCTGGTGCCTTTTCCTCCCTGCTCCGTGAGGACAGTGTGATAAGTGCAGGGGTTCTGGCAACCTGCCATTCTGCCCCACACAGCACCAGTGGTCTGGGGGCTGGTGGAAGCGTTGGCCTTCCC